ATTTAATACATGCAGATTTTGAATCATGCATATTTCGGAACATTGAAAACAGGATTTTTTTTGAATAGTTTGATCTTACATAGAAGAATTTGATAATAATCTAATATCTCGACAAAAACACAACAAGATCATGAAACCTTTGAAGATTGCTACAGTTCGATGGTCTGCTATTACTGAGTGAAATATGGACTCGAAAATATTTTTAGCCATTGCGAAAAATGCTTTATTTCTGTATTAAAGGAAATGGTAGGGTTCTGAGTATGAGGCACGGGTGTGAACTTTCGACTTGTAGAAAATTTTCAATTTGTTCCAACTAAATCGTATTTTTTATTTAAAAAAAGGTTGTAAAATGAAAAAAAAAGCTAGTTCAGCATTTCCTCATATTTTCAACTTTCAAAAACTAAATTCGTTGTACCCCAAGTTCGACTCACATAAAAATCTATTCACACACTTACTAAGCATTGTTCTGGTAGAGTATTAGTTTCAGTTTCATCCTAAAACTGTTTCTTTATCCGAAAATAGTACCTACTCATGTAAAAACATAATTAAATAATCATCATTGTCTTTGATTAAAACGTAGTGAAGTAGTAAGTGATAAATACAACATCATTGATTATTTTGAGTAGTTTTTTGATAGAAAACAACTGAATACTCGTTATTATTTTCATTTAATCGACTATTTTCGATTACTTTTTGAGTATCGAATAGAACTTTTCTTTTTACATCGGCTGTACCTATGAAAAGATTTGTGTTCGATCAAGCTTACAATGTCTGAATATTATGGATAATTTATTCTTCGCTGAATAGTTCGTATAACTCTTGGAGTGACACATCGATGTTCTTTGAAAACGCTTCTTATTTTAATAGTACTATTTTGATGGTTTTTTTGACTTAAAATAGTTTTAGAATTCATATTTCCATTTCCTAAAAGATTACAAATTTTCGTTTTAGACTAATTTAAGAACGAATTATTTATTTCGAAATGTGAAAGAACTTATACTGATCATTGATCATGAATGCTTCTTCCATTCCATTGAACATTTATCGACAATTGTTAATTTATCGAGTCTACAAAAACTGGTTTTGGATTTTCGGTGCGAGTGTATGTTTGTTGCCAGTTTAGATGTCGAAATGGAAACTCTATTCAAAAGAGCATGGAATCTGCGTTCAATTCATATAATCTGTAACAATTCTGAAAGAATTGAGCTGATAACTTTTAATGCTATCTGTTTGAAATTACCTCATCATATAAAACGTCTTCATACTGATATCACATATAGGAACGACGTAAAAGTAATTTTGGAAAGAGCCGAACATTTATCAAGTGTCACATTTCGAAAACTCAACCCACAGGCTTTTGCAAACGAGGTCACTAAATGGCTCTCGCGAATGAAAAGAGAATTTGCATATAAGATAGAATGACATTTAGGAAGAGACTAATCAGTTAGTCACAAACATATCAAACGAATGCATCACTATCATCACTCATAATTTATTGGTTTTATGCTTCTTGACACGCTTGATTTCGAATGTTCATTGGCGGATCAATCAACTTATCGAACGATTAATCTTCAGATAAAAGTCGAAATATTTGTGATTATAGTCATTTTTTCATTAATAAAGATGTAAGCTTGAAAAACTTGTACGTATAAATCTTCTCTTCATACAGACTCATACTCCAAATGCAATTGTTGCATCGATATTTTATTTAATTCAAATGCTTGTTCAAAATAATCACGTGGATGATCGAAGACATTCAATACTTAAACTAGTGTTATTTTTTTTCAAAAGAATTCGATCATTACTCAAAACAGGGCACTTCATTCATGAAATCTTGTTGGAATTCTTAAATTGAGAAGTAGATTATTTATATACACAATTTCTTGTAACGAACGTCCAAGTGAATTATTAATATGAATAACAATTCTTTTGAAAACGACTTGTTTCATAAGACATTGATGTTTTTTTCCACAGTTCGGCGATTATCATTTAGAAAAAAAGAGTTTTGAATATTTTGAATCAGTAAGACTATCGAATAATTTTATTATCATAATTTCAAATAGCGATGAATAAGAATGCTTTATCAATTAATGTTTATGAGAAACAATATTATGTGTAGGAAATAAGATTGATTAACTGGTGAACATTAGACTGAGATATTCACATCATCAGGTTTAACATAATTCAAACTGAAAATTTTCGATGAATTCTCTAAAAAATTTATTTTTTGAAAATAAAAATACAAGAAAAGAGAAATTTTCGAAATTGTCTTAAGATCATTTTAACTAATTTTGAATTTTTCCATATTAGTTATAATGATTGAATAATTAACTTGATTCATGGGAGAATTTTAAAATGAACTGAAGTTGAACTTATTTTTCAACAATTATGTCGAATAAAACTAAATTGAAACTCATCAAGATCAATTTGTTTCGAGTCTCAATTGAGTTTCAATGAAAACTTTTAATGAAAAGAACAACAACAATTGATTTTCAAGATAAAACATTTATTGACAAATTAACATATAAAGAGATAATAAACTCTTGAAACATGAAAATTCAATTAAGTAGAAAGTTTATGTCTTCGATCGAAGTATTATTTTTCCTAAGATTACTCTAAAAAATTCAGATTATGTATCTAAGTCGAATAAATTTTTATGGAAAGCATCCGTTTTGTCGTCGTTTCTGTTGGGTAACTAAAATTTTGTTAAGATCTATTTGAATGAATTGTTCTTCATAATAATGTCGACATACAATGATCAAATGAATTTTCGAATGTTGTGCAAGAAAAAAAAATAAGGAATGTGAAGAGTGGAACAAATTATTCAACAATATTCTTATAGCCAAGCAGAGTATTAAAGGTATACGATGGACTCGATGAAAGGTCAAAAGTTTGGCGCGTATTTTTTTTTTTGTTCGTTCTGTTTCATTTATGACTCTACGAAAGCTGTCGAATCAGAGCACAATCAGGCAATATGTTTCAATAATTTTCGCCATTCTCCGCCATGAAGAAGTGAGGATCATTGAGTGTTTTGCTGTTCGATGTGTAGTCGTCGTAAGCCTGAAAACAAGATCAACATAATTATCAGATTAGATGATGCAGAATTATCAATAATCTAGAGTTGGCGAACATGATTTAGTTTATAATTCAGCAGCGTCGAAGTAAATAACAATTCCTGTAACAGACACATGCAAAGTGATCGAAGATTCAATATGTTATCATGAAGGAATAAAACAATGTTCGATGTCCAGAGGCAGCGGCTTCTTGAGAAACGAAGAAGATGGAAAAAAATAGCTGCAATTCGAGAACGTTTGCTATTCACATTTCTCAATCATAATGTGAAACCCGTAAGTGACATAAAATAGTGAGCATGGGCTTATAATATTTACTAGAAAACGAAAATCAAACCATCTGTCGCCTAATTGTTAATACTTAAACGTTCAATTTGATTATCGGATCAAAGTATTGAAGAATTAAGTTTATTAATGTTTTATCGATTCCTTGGGGTGAGAGCGAAGAAAGAGTTTATTCAGTTGTTGTTAAAAATCGTTTATCGATAGCAGTAATATTGCTATGAAACAACAAGTAACGACTTTGACATGTATCAATGAAGGATGCTAGTGTATTTCGAATTGTCATAGAAAGCACAGTACAGCATATAGATATCGAGATGTGTCAAAATAACGAGTAATTCTCCATTGCTTAATGATTTGATTTAGAGAGTGGTTGTGGAAAAGATATATTGATTCAATCGAGAAAATAATAATAGATGAAAAAGCTCAGCACAATGAAAAATGGTGTGTCAAATTGAAACTAGTGAACGAAAATAACGAAACATAGTGCATGGCACATATCAGATAATATCTTGAGGAAACTAGGTAACACAGTATGATTCGAATGTTTTATGAACCATAATTGTTCTAACGGGTAACAATATCTCAGATGGCATCGCGATAAACTATTGACAACTGAAAATGATACATATATTGATGATCTCATCATACGATATTTTAATCTCGGCAGTTTATGTATAAGACAAGGTAAATTTGTCGTTGTTGTTCAATAGTATGAGTTTGTTATTAAAATGTATTTGAATATATTGTTGCCTTTATCACCCAGACAAACAGAATTTAAAATAGCTTGTATTCATGTTGTGGAAAGTGCCGTCCATCAATCGGAATTTCCACAAGTACAACATATTATTGGTGTGAGCAATCAAATTCGTATGCATGGTCCTGAAGAAAAATGACAACACGATCAAGATTCATTGCCTAGTATTATTCTTTTCTGTTTAATTTCATCTTTTGTTATTGTTGATCAGACAAAAATTAGTCTCGCAATCTGAACAATAATCTCAGTCGATAATAAAATTCCATGTAATAAATGGGTATGGAAAAAGAACTCACCACTCTTCGAAACCATGTCAGCAAAATAGACACCTTCCCCAAACATATAGCCTCTCTATAATAAATAAAAAACAGTTTAGAATTTATTACTCTTTGCCATAAAATCGAATGATGACAACAATTAATTTGAACTACTCGTTTTATGTAGAAAATTATCCTTAAAACTTTTCTTTTAAACTCAAGATCACTAACAGACATAATCCAGAGTATCCATCCAAGAACTTCTTGCAAGAAATACAAAAGATTATATTTAGCTGTTCGAAAAATTATGAAAGCCTTATTGAAATTGCCTCTATTTTTTTCTGAAACTCATCACTTTGAACTGACCACTGATGCTTCTGGTGGAGCAATACGTAATCCTTGACTAAGAATCCCAACAAAATTTGTTGTTCTCGAACCATGCCTTAACAATTGATGATTTTTAACTTTTTGGCATTTTTTTAAAACGATCATTTTCACCTTCTCGTACTATTTTAAATAATTCTTTCTATCTTAATATATATGTATTAAGTGTTATTGCATGTGTATTTATCATATGTTGTGCAATTCGTTTAAATTCTTCTGTATTTTTATTAATCGGTTCAATTATATATTTTAATTTTTTTTATAATGAACATCAATCGGATGTTCATTTTCTTTATCTGTAGATCCTTTTAACAATGAATAGGCTATTTCTGTTTCAAGCAAATTATTAATCATTTGTGTTTTTGATTGAATTAATTCAATATTATCAAGAATTTTTAGTTTTTTAAGACCAAAATCATGAGGAACAAGTGTATAAAATCGATTACTAGCATCAATAATAGATGTTTTATTTGATAAGCCTTCTTTAATTGACTACTTGACAATTTACCTAATGGCATTTTTGTCAGATCAATTTCAAATGCAAGTAATGTTTCTTTCATTGTTTCAATATTAAAAATCAAACGAATAAGATCTTGTACAGGTGATGGAAGATGAGAACAATTTTTTGCATTAGAATTATTTAATGCTTTTTGTATATCATCATCATCATTACTATGTTGCTTATAATCAATTTCTAATGGATAATGCTTATTTGGTAATTTTTTAAACGTTTCTCGATTAGCTCGATTAGTCCAGTGATTACCAGTTATGAAACATAAAAATATATACAATATTATCTACTTATCATGCTCGAAAAAGAAACCATTTTTGTCATTATTATTTTCGAGTAATTGAATTTTGTAATATGAATTAGTATCACGGGTTATATCAATCATGCCGAGTACTGTCGCAAAAATATCACCAGTTTCATTATCTTTCAATACATGACATGTTTCTTCGAGTCCTGTAAGAAACAAAATCATCTGGTCAGTTGACTTTATTTACAGAAAAAATCGAAGATCTTGCAAAGTCTGTTGCTCATGAGAGAACCAATTCAAGCGTGAAACGCCGCTCGACGTCATATTTTGATTATGAATAGGACTCAGTGAAACTATGAAAATCCTCAAATGGCTCATGTATATGCTGTGCCCAACCAGAGTTATGGCTGCTTTGGTGAGTTTTCGGCTTCTGAGCAAAGTATTTATGGAAAACTAAATAATGAGATTTTCACCAGAAATTTTTTCATAGAGAGATATGTCTTATGACCAATAGAATATCCTAATAATTTCAGTTCCAACAAATGTGTCTTTCTTGAAATATCGAGTGTTTGAAACAACTCTATTCTTTGACTCACCTTGTAATATGCATACAGCCATTCTTTGGAAATTAGATATCTTCACAAGAATACATACGTTGGAATTGAAATTATTAGGATATTCTATTGATCGTAAGACCTATTTATGAAAACATTTCTGACGAAAATCTCATAATTTTGTTTTCCATAGATACTTTGCCCAGAGGCTGACAACTCACCAAAGCGGCCATAACTCTAGTTGCGCAAAGCATAGGCACGAACCATTTTAGGATTTTCATAGTTCCACTGAATCCTACTCATAACCAAAATATGAAGTCGAGTGGTGTTTGACACTTGAATCGGTTTACTCGTTAGATTATTATGAACATAGAAGAAATGAAAATGAATCAAAATTAATCTATTGATATTTCGTTTAAACCATGCCTATGTGCATGACTCTAACATAGATATTTGAGAGTTTTCAGATAGTAAACCTTAGTTTTGATTGATAGAGAAACTTACCAGAATCAGGATCGACTGCAATACCATCCTTTAATTTCATAGTAACGTTTTCCATAGGAATCTTTTTGTTCGAGCTACAACAGCGATTTGAACTTATATTTTTTGAAATGATTCGAATAAAATATTTACCCATAGATTTAAATGTAGTCGGAAATTTTTGTTTTGTTGTTTTCGAATATGTGGTAATTTACCACAAGTTGATAATTTTAATTTTTCCATCACAACCGATGATCGATCATTAAGAATATCATCGAGAAATTGTTCAGGAACGATATGAATTTCGAAATATTGTGCATCTTGAATTTTTTTATTCCCTTTTTGTACTTCATCTATATAGAATAATGAAAATAAAATAAACAATGAATTAAAGAAATAAAAATAACCTTGTGTACTAATGATTACATCGACTGTTTTATCAATAGTCGTAACAACAGTATCACCTAATTGTTCAATTTTGTTTTTTTAAAGTACTTGTCTTCTTTGATAAACGACCGACTAATGCAATAGAATAGCCATTAAGAGGTGATTTAGAATCATAATCAGGTCTAGAATAATAGGGTGAAATGATAAATAATTCTATGAGAATAAAAAACAATAATCATTTACTCATTAATCTGCACTGTTTCATTCATCAATTTTGGTTTCTTAAAGATTTTTGTCATGATTCGATCTCGTTTTGTATATTTGTAGTTTTTACTAGAAAATCAATGCAGTAGATAATAATTGAATTTGGTTACTGGTCTTGATTTTGAAATAACCAATTCGTATTGTTTTTTTTAAATTTCGAACGAGGGAATACTGATTCTCTTATGAATAAAAATAAAAAGATCTTACAAAATGTCGTATTTTTCTTTAATTTGATCTGGCATTTCAAATGGTTTTCGTTTAGATAATATTGTTGAATAAGAACATGGTGTTAACGATAATTTGTATAACTAAATATTAAAATTGAAACAGAATCGTTGAGAAAAAAAAAGATCTAATGACTTACTTGAAAATAAGAAGACCACCACATTCTGGACATGGTTCAAGTGCACCAAATGTCATACAATCAGTTACAGTATCAATTAACTGAAATGAATTATTAAATTAATTCAAAGGAATCAATCGAATTACATTTGATTCTTTAGTAACTGATTTTTGAACATTAAACTCGAGTAATTCTTTTAGAACATCGATTGGAATATCTTTTCGCAAATTATCTTTGTAAGTCCATAGAAATTCACTTTGTTCCTGTAACAAACAAACAATAAACAATTCTCAACTATAAATAGAAAATAAAGAACCTTTCTAAGACGTGTGTCTTCCTGTTCATCTAAAATTTCCGATTTTACATCTTCGATTTTCGCTTGTTTTACTTGTGTCGATTCATTATTTATCTCTTTACCTTTACGTTTTCGTTTTGAATGAGTCAATGTACCAAATTTCTCTTTCAGCTCTCTTTAATCGTCATTATTCAAATCATCAAAACCGAAAAAACTTTAAAAAAAAAGTTCATTTCAGATATGAATTCAGTGAAAAACTATGAACGATTCAGCATTGCCTGAAAATCCAAGATCTTTTTTCATTTGATAAAAACAGTCTACATGATACCATTCATCAGTTGGTCCATAACTTCGTGCTCGTTTACTTGTATAATTTGTTCTTAATAAACGCAATGTATCTTTATCAATCGATTTATCACAACTATGACATGTACTTCGATTTGATTTAGCATATTGAACAGAAAATGTATCATTTACATCATTTCCACCTAATTGAAAGATAAATATTCTATTGATTAAGAGATTCAATTTTGCTATTCAACATAGTTATAATGATTAATATAGAAAAACGTTCTTCAATATTAATCGAGCTATTGCAAAATACGATTTCAATACGTTTTTAAGTGCACAGATATAGAAAAGCAAACTCTTCATACGTGTGACAGGTATATCAGAGTATTTACCATGATCTGAAAATTGATACTTTCCCAGACATATGACAAAAAAAACTTTACTTTCATTTGTAGGCTCGTATGAATTTGCAATTTCAATCTTCAATTGAATATTTACTTGTCTTTTTCGTTTATGTGCATAAATGTTTATCAGACCGTTATAAAGTAGACGTGAGTCACTTGCCTATCTATGAGTCGAATAGTTTTATTTTCATAAATACTTTAAAAAAAACAAAGATTTCTTTCTCGATAGAAACCAACACAATAAATGCATTTAGTCTTAGCAAAATTCGACATCATTATTCGTTTTTTAAAATTCTCAAAAAGAAATTAAATCTTACTCGACAGTGCTGTAGCGTTTTCTTGAATACGATGACGAATTTTATCTTGATCTTCCTAACGTAAATCATCAAAACGTTTTATAATATTTACATCAATTAATTTGACTTTTTTGAAAAAACAATCTGTATGATACTAATTGGGAACCTAATGAAGAGATTATTTTAATTAATTAATTAATGTATCACAGACTTTGGCGTCAAATTTTGATGAGTATGTCATAAATGTAAATCGAAATGAATCTGTATCGATTGACGACCAACAACTTTTGCATTTTGATCGATCCGATTTAGCATATTCGACTCGAAATGTAGAATCGGTGGCAGACATACTTAAGTCTTACCTTCTGTCGATGAAACTTCAAATAACAGAAAAGTAAAACATACCGATGGTATGTTCTCTATTGCCTTGTAATGATGAAATTACATATGACAGAATGCAATGAGGTCTGATGGTTGTGGTCACACTTTAGAGTGTGGGTGTGGATGTGGTTTTTTCTCTCTTAATACACCCACACCCACAGGGTGAGTAATTTTCTTTTTCTTTTGAATATGAGAATAGAGTTAGACTGACCAAAGTAAGTGTCAGTAAGATGATGGAGTGAGCCATGTCCATTGAGGTGAGGCTCCACTTATCTGAAGGACTTCCTGGTAGTCTCTAAAAGCCCAGTCAGGGATTGCTTCGATATCGGTGGCACACAACCGGACCTCCTGACTCATTGATATATGACATTGAATGAGTGCATGTGAATGACGTGGGTCTTTCGATGCAAGCATGAGCTTTACGCTCGCCACGACTCCACCAGACTGGTCCCTAGTCGCATGTGAGTGCATGAATAGAATAGCTATTAATTCTTTTTTATTTAATCGTGATTTATTTTTGAGAGAAAGAAGACAAAAAGATAAAATTAATCATCGTTCTGAGTTTGTTCAATATTAAATCTTTGCACTCGATTATTATCGCGATCGACGACATAGAGATTGCCAAGTAGATCAAATGATAAACCAACAGGATATTTGAGTTGATTCGACTGTATTCCTTCACCGTTTCCGCCAGCAATAACATTTCCCTGTTTGACTCCTTTTGGCCAACGCATGATTCGATTATTCCAACAATCAGCCACATAGACAGTTTCCAATTGATCTACAACGACTCCATAAGGACCTGCCAATTTTGTAAGACTATTTCCTTCTTCTTGACCACCGGCTACGACAATGCCTTCGTTTGCACCTGCCACCCATTTCATTACACGATGATTTTCACAGTCAGACACGTATACTGAATGATCTTGATCGACGAATATGTAGCGAGGTTTAGAAAGTTGATTGAGATGATTTCCGCTTCCATTGCCACCTGCAACTACTGTTCCTTCAGTGTCACCAATTGTATATCGTCTCACTTCATGTTTTTCATCGTCGACGACATAGAGAGAACCATCCTCGTCCATTGTCAAACCTCGGCAAGAAATATTTGAGATGATTGTTTCTCCACTAGTACCATTTCGACGAGGCCATCGGACTACTCTTTTATTTTCGTAATCGCTTATGATGAGGCTATCTCTCTTGATGTCTACAATAACATCTCCTGTATAGTTTAACTGATAAACTTCATTTCCGTTTCCATTTCCACCGGCAACCACTAGGCCATACGTCACACCACATTTCCATTCTACAATACGGTGATTATAGGTATCAGCAATATAAATCGTTTGAGCATCATCGTCGACGCACAAACCCCATGGGCGATCGAGTTGATTGATTCCACTGCCTGATCCATTTCCTCCAGCAACAGTAAAACCATTCTGTTTCCATTTTGCATTCGGATGAATATCAATGAAACTTGCACGTAGTGGTGCTGAAATGAAACAAAAGTGTGGAGCAGAAATCAGCATCGATTTCATTAAAATGAGTCTTTCATTTGTTTTTCTCTTAGAATATTCATCAGGATAGTAAGAACCCTTATTTTGACTTGTCGTCACTAAAATACTTAAGTCTGAACAAAAGTTATGGCAACACTGCTGACAAATTAATAAATCAATTAAGATTTAAGAATCTAGGTGTTTGATCGATATTACACCAGAGTCCGGACATTTTTTTGAAACAGATGCACAGACAATTCATGAGAGATTTGCAAGAGCATGAAGACCTAGCAGTGTATCATATCGAACATTTAACTGGTACGGTTGGAAAGGATTAGTAATATATTTATCAGAAGAAATCACATAAATTAGTAGTGGGTATTTGGTGGTAGTGTCGTTTTTCGTTCCTTCTAGGACAGAATAAGCAAGTTATGATTGAGTTCAAACATGAGTAAAAGTAATCGGATTATATAAATAGATCGTTAAAAAGTATTTAACCATGATAATCTTCATTGCACAGAGATCATTTTATCATTAGAAAACGGGAGCTGAATAATTTCTTTTCATACTTCAGCTGATTGTTTCAAAAATGATGAAGATTTGTAACTTTCGAGTTTTGTAAGGAGCAGTTTTTACTTCAACAACGATATTGAACCGTTCAAATTATTTTCAATCGAAATCAAGACTTGTGGCGATGTCCTGTGGAGCATTTAAAAATTATTTTGTAATGTTTTTTTTTGTATTAGAATAATTTTGAAAATGAAAAAAATTGAGCGCTTAAATTCTTAATTTTTGTGTATTTTTGTTCAGGAATTCTTATATAACTTTTCAAGAAATTATATAATACGAAGATATGAAGTCTTTTTTCTCAAATGAATATGAGTTTCAAATAAAAGAAAAAAACAACGTTTTCCGTTCCCAATTATTTTAACGCTTATTATTTCTATGTTTATTCTATCTGTCATTCTACATTATAATGAAAGAAACTGTTGGAAATTCTGGTTTGAATTAATGTTATTATTTGAAATTCATTACATCAGCATTATCTTAATTATGATGAGATCTATTTGTGTATCTGAGAAATAAAGATCTACTGAACGTGAGATTGTTTTTTGTATAATTCTTTTTTTGTTGAATATTAAAACGCTAGTGAATGATAACTTTTCATTGACACTATACTAAACAAAACAAGTTTTCAAAAAAATTCTAATTGAATTTTCGTTATCGAGAAAACGATTCAAAGTCTTCTATTTCAGAACTTGTATCCTTCGACTGATATTTTTCTTTGTTATCTGTTTTAAGTAATATTTACATACAATGTAATCTGCTTCTTTTTATATTGATAGACTGGACACATCCATTGACAGATATGAATCCAATAGATGAGATTATCTTCTTCTAACTGCATATTTAGTTGGAAGAAACATGTATACATACTAGCTAAGTCTGTTTCTCATGAGAAAAATCAAACATAATCAAAGTAACATTTCAAAATCAATCATCCAAAAAACAAGGGTGCGGATATTGTGAAGAAGAACATCCATGCCCAAAAGTCATGTCATCTTTGACAGATCAGACCTCTTACTATCTTTATATGCGTTTATCTCAATTCTCATGTTTTTCATGAAAATCGATCTTTTTTTTTAGGAAGAGGGACTTAAACAATATGTGAAGATACAACGACGAAAATGATTCTATCACCTCTAAATGTGTTGTTTTTGTATTTTTCTAGTATAGAAGAAGTTGAATAGGTATAAAAAAATTCATATTTTTGCAACATGCGAACTAGCATTCAATATTGACTATATCCAGTTGACACCATTATCAAGGAAGATTTTACTTCGTTACATGCTTAACGTTTAGAGTATGTATAATGACAAAAAATGAAAAAAAAACACATTTGATAAAAATTTTTCAAAGTTTTACTAATAATGCATCTTCTTAACTACATGATCAATTGAGTACAATGCATGTTCAATAACAATTTGAGTATTACATTTACAAGCATATCTTTTCAATTTGTTCGACTCTGTACATTTGAAATATAAAAAATCCAAGTCAAAATAAGCTTGAGCCTTATGTAACATATGATTGAAACTTATTTTCGAAATCTAACTACAACTATTTGTGCTTTCATCATTTCTTCTAATGCGAATAGAAGAACAAAAAAACGTTTGATCGCTTTACATTTACCTGCGGTTTAGATGAAAGCGTTAAAAATTTAAAAACAAATTCATATTTCATCACTTGTCTTCGATAGCCAATCGATCATCTATAATAATTCTTAACTAATATCCGATCCAAAATAAAAGGCAAGTTACGATTTTTCGAATAACTTTTGACAGAAACGAGATATGAAGCTACAGTTTTTACCATTCAAATGAACCATGTCGATGCCATCAGTCGGCATAAAATTCATTAAGACGAAAACTGCTTTTTTATAGGTATCTTTGAATCAACACTTTTCTTTCAGTATTTTCATCAATTTTCACAATAATCTTAAACTCAAATTATGTCAAAATGTAGCTCAAATCATTTTTTCTTGCTATAAAATTAACCTTGTTTTCTTTTTATTCTGCTAAGAATAATTGGTTGAGAGATAATGAAATGTTTGTTAATTTTATAGCGAGAAAAGTGATTTGAGCTACATATTGACATAATTTGAGTTAAGTTTTTTGTGAAAATTGATGATAATACTGAAAGAAAAGTGTTGATCCAAAGGTACCTATAGAAAAGCATTTTTCGTTCTAATGAGTCCTATACTGATCAATGTCCCGGACATCGCTGTTTTGAATGGTGATAACCTCAGCTGTCTATCTTGTTCCTATCGAAAATTGTTCGAAAATTGGTGGCATACCTAGTAGTTTAGATCGGATAATAAGTGTAGGAAAAAAAGATGCAATCTATCGCAAAAAAAATACGAGAAGTGATGCATGAACAGAAATGAAAATGCGACGAAAAACAATCATTTACAACGTACGATAAGTGAAAGAGAAAGATATTCAAAGAAATGAAAAAATGAATAGAAAGTTATATGAAGACGAACAAACTCGAACTCAAGAGAAAAAAACGAAACAATATACGTTTCAACCAGTAAATGAACGATTACATCATTAAAAAATACTCTTTTTTAAAACTTGAAATAGTCGATGTACTGAAGTACTCTAAAGAAATCTAAACTCATGAAAGCTGAATGCATAAAGTCACCTGAAATCGGACAAGAAAAAAAACTCATAAATACGCGTTTTAATCTTTATTTCAGTGTCTTTATCATGAAATTGATATTTTTATTTGTTTTTCTGATTGAGAAATGTTACTTCTAGTATATTCTGAAACTATCAGAGAACTCATTGCTAAGAGAAAGTTGGCGAATTCCGTGATTCATGCGAAATATCAACTAATGTACAATTTGAAAAATTAATTCCACGGTGAATGAGCAGAATGAAATAAGACAAAATATTTACAGCTTTGATACATAAACTATTTGTTCGACTATTTATGAGCAAAATTCGCGGATGTGAAGAGATACAAAGGTTTCTCTATCATCACTATATTATTCGGTTTTTTTGCAAATACATGCTCAAAATCCTCATACAAGAATCTGATTTACAGTTTTCATTATATAGAAGTAGAAGCGTAACAAAAAAGAAGACTGGCACCTGATGAACCGCAAACTGAAAAATCCTGACAAGATTCCATCACAATACCAGAAATCAGATACATACTGGAAAGAAAGGATTCTTTGCCAAACTTTCCAAGAAGAAATCAATAGATTTTCAAGAACAAATATCTCTCAATCCTGAAAGAATATTCATGAATGCATTTTGCTCTTTTCGTTCAATAATTTATTCAACCTTACTCAACTCGTGATCACTATGATGATAAAATTTTGATAGATATTCGAATAAATGTTCGAAGTAATTATGAGCAATGACGTAGCCAGAAATTTTCAAGTCATGGATTGCTTCCCAGCTCAATTATGCTGAGGAGCGAGCAGCATTCGACAATAAAAAATCAATTGGGCTAAAGTTTTTTTAAAGCTTATCACTATCACAAAAGCCGATGTTCATTGAAGAGAAATGCGTTACTCTCAACTAAGAGATGAGGTCATTCGAAAACATAAATACAGCTATTAGCGAAGTTGAGGAGAAGTACGAGTATCATCACTGTGAGTGTCGGTTTAATGACAAAAATAGTCAATTGGTTTATCTGGGTCGCTTGTTTAGATGACAAAGAGATATAACGTTTTAAAATAACACTACTCCGATCTTTGTCCATCTATGTGTATCAAGGTTTTTTAGCATTGGGCAATAACTCAATGGATGTATCCTAGGAATGCCACTGATTATGAGATCCCAATTTTTAGAAATTCTTTCTTTTTTCCGTGAAACATATGTACTATACCAGTGTCATTCTAAGTCGAATCAGAATTAACTACCAACAAGAGGTCTGCTATGGACCGAGCTGGCTGAATGCCATCTCGTAGATACGATCAGCAACAATATGGAATATCATAAATAGACTGAAATTGCTTTAGCTCTCACTAAAAACGAAATATAAAATCGAAACTTGGTTTCTTATTTGCAGCTAGAGACTCTCGTCAATATATGATTCCTCTTTTCGTAGAAAGGCATCTTGTCTAGATGTTTCAAGAAACAAATTATAACATCTCTTATCAAACATAATTAAAACCTAATCATAACTCGTATTTTGATTGAAAAACATAAGGATTTCTTAGGAATTTTTGCAATGCTCTCCTTGTCATGTGTTGAAGTTTCGCAAGGAATTTGTTCTTGAGTCTAGCATGCAGAATCTATTTGTTAAGATCTTCATGAAATCTTGATAATAAGATACATTTGGAATGTTTAAGGTCCCTTTTTTTGCAGAAGTTGTTTAAGTTCATATTAAAGTTTTTTCTTGAATTTCGAATACAACATGCTATCAGGATACCCGAGGGAATAGCAGATAGAATGAAGATTCTATCGCAAGTTATAGCTAGATCAGGGGGAGCGGGTCTTAATACAAATGCAGATGTTGCAAAA